CGGGCGCTGGACGCCGTGAAGCACCGCGCCCTCCCCGCCACCGCCCTTTCCCTGCACGGCCGCCTGGGCTCTGGCCACCGCCACACCCACCTAGGTTTTATACTGTCTGTGATGTCTCTTTTGTGTACTTTCAAAATCCGCTGTGATGGGTGATGTGGTTCTGGGCTGGGGCAGGGACCCTCAGGACCTGCCCCCCGCTCAACTAAGAAATTAGTTTTAAATCACCACCTCTCAGACCTCTGAATCCAAAGCTCCCTTCTGCGCACACAGGGCCAGGCAGTCCCCAGTCCTGGGCTCATCTGGAAGCGGAACTTCCATCTCTTTCTAGAACCATCTTTGGGCCCCTGGCCCAGGCCAAGCAGTACTCCTTGCAGGCAGCCGGGTGGGCTCCTGCCTTTGTCCACAGCATGAGGAGGGACCTGACTGTCCAGACAGGAAGGGGCCCTGGAGCGGGCAAAGCATTCCATCCAAACAGGATACAGAACCCCGCCAGGGCCGGGGCACAGCCGCAGAAAAGCGCTTTTCACCTGCAGCACTGTTTTCCCTACCTCAGATCAGGGACCCCAGAAAACCGCACAGCCTGCAAGGGAAGCACCGCGGGTGTGCAGTGGTCCCGGCCACTCCTCACTCCCACGGCCGGGCCCTTCACCCTTAACCTGGGAGGGAACACACGGGGGTGGGCAGCTGACCCTGGACGAGGAAGCAGCAGGCCATGGGCCAGCGCCCCCTGGTCCCCACCACACCGCACCTGTCTTTTACAAAACCGGGAGGGGAGGGAGCTTTCGTGGAAATTCATGCTTCTTTGCTGTACGACCACAGCTGGCCTCGCACCCGTGGGAGCGGGTCACACGTGGCGGCACACCTCCAGGCCAGCCAGCAGGGTGGCTGAGGCAGGACTGCTTGAGCCCAGGAGGCTGAACAGCCTGATCAACTCAGACCCTGCTTCCCCATAGCTCAGTAGAGAAAGGCAGCCCTGTTTACCAAGGGCCAGCTAAGCAAATCTGCACCAGAGGTCAGACCAAAGCCACTGTCCCAGCACTGGGTACAGAGGCAGGACACCAACAGCCTTGGGAAACCAGGTGGGGAGCCTGGAAACCTCATCTGACATCACCCTCTGCTGCTGCCCCACACCGCCCGCTTCCCAGCTCTGCAGCCTGCATCTCCCCAGATGCTACACGCTGCTCACTTCAGGGCTGTCACAATGGGGCCCCAGAGAGCCCACACCAACGACCCTTGACAAACGAATCTGGTCATGAATCGAACTGGATGAGAAGTAAACCCGAATCTCTGTGAGGTCAACACCGACTCTAAATCACTCAACTGATTCAGTTCTCGTCCAACTCAAGTTTTTGATCAGAATCACAGAACTGAGTTGGTGAACTGGAGCACCACTTAGGGCTGCACACCAGCGCCTTCTTGCCCTTTGATGGAGGCTGGGCGGAGGACAGGGGAGCCCAGGTGCCCCAGGGCTCCCAGGAAGCTGTCACAGCCTGGCCGCCCTGCTGTCACTCTGTCCAAGAGGTCAGAAGGAAACTGCACGACTCGGGCAGAGGCTGTCCCTGAGCCGTGGCACCCAGTGCCCATCACCAAGGTGACAAACCACACACCGCCACCCCGATCACATGCAGAGAGGGGAGACAGGTGGTGTGGGGGCAGCGAAATTTATTGGGGGCGCCCTAGTACAGGCGCTGGGGCTTGCCCATGGTGCTCTTGATGTACAGGGCCCGGACGTTCTGCCAGTTCTTCTTGAGCAGTGACACCAGGAAGTTGACGGCCAAGTGGATGTTGTACACCAGCTCGTCGTCTGTCATCTTCACATGGCCAACAGCCACGGCCAGACACAGTACCTGGGAGGGACAGGGCCAGGGGAGGTCAGGGAGGTCAGCAGAGTCCGTCCCAGCTCCCCAGCCACATGGCTGAACACAGGCGCCCAGGAGGTGCAAACCAGGTCCAGCGCCCCACCTTCTTCATCTGGAACTTGATGGTGGACTTCACCTCGTCCACCTTGGCCACCATGTTTTCATTGTGGGTCAGCAGGGAAGGGAACTTGCCAGCCTTATTGAGGCCAGGGCCCAGGATTCGTGGGATCTGCTTGATCAGAGACTCCGAGGCCAGAAAGGCATCGTACTTCTTGGCTGCAAACAAGAAACGTGGGTGCTCTCCAGGCAGCCAGAGGGAAGCTCATGGTCATCAGGCTGGAAAGCACCTGAGCCAGCAGGCAGGACTTCTATGTGGCATCTTCTCTCCCACTACAGGGACACCGTGCTTTTCTGTAGTCCTGAGGACTCATGCCGGGGAGCAATGAGCTGCATCCCATCCCTTTCTACTTTGAAAGACTTGCTACACTGCCCAAGGCTAGACCAGGGCTCAAGTCCTGCCTCTCACCCCCTAGAGCTGGGGGCCTTGGGCATGATGACAACAGGGGATCTTTGCTCACAGGTGGCTCTGATGCCACTGCCTAGTCCAGAGGGAAGACTAAAACCATACCAGCTAACAAATTCCAAATCACAGCACTGGGGTAGTGGACCTAAACTCACCTGCCACCTCTCCCACAGGTGAAGATGTTTTCCCTCATCACCTTGAGTTAGGTGAGCCCCTACCCCCCCCACACCTGTTTAAAGCCAGCACGTGTCCTCTTTTATAAAGCATAACCCTCACCAGGTGTGATGGCGCACACCTGCAATCTCAGCACTTGGGAGGCTGAGGCAGGAGGACTGAGTTTGAAGCCAGCCTGGGCTACATAGTGAATTTATCCCAGGCCAGCCTGAACTACAAAATAAGACGTTATCTCAAAAACAAAACAAAGCAAACCTCTCAAGAAAGTATTAAATGGCCAACCCTTACTTATTCTCTGTAATACTAGGGATTAGTTCCAAGGCTTTGGCACCCAGTTAAGGCCCTGGTTCTAGAGACCCAACCTTCCTAAAACTAAAAACATCACTCAGGCTGCTTTGCCACCCACAGGAATTTTTCCCTACTCTACTTTTTTTGTTTTTTTTAAAAAAGGCACAGTCTCCTCTCCTAACCCAAGCTGGCCTGAAACTCACTGCGATCCTCCAGCCTCAGCCTTCCTTCCAAGTGCTGGGATTACAGGCGTGCACCACCCAAACCAGCTACCACCTGTTTTAAAAGTCCAAGTGGTGCACAGCTGAATACCCAGCACTCTGGGAGGCCGAGAAAAGATGATTACAAGTTCACGGCCCACCTGAGCAATTCAGTGAGCTGACTCAGAATGGGGGGGGGTCGGTGCAAAGGCCCCGGGGTCAATCCTCAGTACCCCTGACCCAAAAAGCCACTTTGGGGAGGCTGTACTGCGCCCGCTGCACCCACCCAGCTTCTTGACCAGCTTCTTATTCTTGTTGAGCTTCTTCAGCGCCTCGATGTCCATGTGGGGGATGTCCACGGCCTTGGCCTCGTCGCAGTGCTGCTGGTCCCCCAGGACGCACACGGAGAACTTGGGGCGGGGCGTGGACTTGAGCCTGCGTTGG